AGCTGTGAGAGCAGGCGTCAGCTGGGTGGTAGCAGAGCTGGGGAGGGGAGGAGAGGGGAGGGGGGTTTTGCAACATCACACAGTCCCCTCCTGGAGCCAGCCCCTGACAGTGCAGGCTGAGAGGGCAGTTTGGAGGGGAGCCTTGCACCCTGGAGCCAGGGTCCCAGCTGTGAGAGCAGGCGTCAGCTGGGTGGTAGCAGAGACCTGGAGACGCCGAGAGGGGCGCACAGTCCTGAGAACGTGCCTCTGGCCCCCGAGTGGGCGTGGAGACCAGGTGGGGTTAGGCAGCCCTCCCGGAGGCAGCTGAGCGGGGGCCTCTCCAGGCCAGGCACTCCCATGTCAGGTAGGGTGAGGCAGCCCCCTGCATGGGCAGGTGGGTGGGGTGGGGCCAACACTGGGCTTGGGGACCATGGAGCCCCCTGGACTGCAAATCCTGGGGAAGGGGTGGGCAGGGGGTCCTCATTCTCGTGGAGAATGAGGGTGGGGCTGGTGGGTGCATGCTGCCCAAGTGCAGGATGAGGGCTCACTGATGGGTGTCAGAGTCAGTTTTGGTAGGGCAGGTGTCGCCATGTAGGACCTTTGGGGCTGTCCCAGCCCCTCCCAGGGACCTGGCCCAACAGCCCCTCAATTCCCTTGCAGACCTCAGCCTCTGGGAGCTGCCTACTCTGGGTGAGCCTCCTAGTCTGGGGACTCTAAGCTTCAGAGGACCTGGGCCGAGAGCCCCCACCCCTGTGTTCCGGGGTGCAGACTGACTAGATGGGTAATGAGGGGCTTGTAGAAAACTCGGGACCCAGGTGCTGGGAAGCCCCCAGCCCAGTGAAGCCATGAGCTTTGTCCCTGGGGGCCCCTACCATGAACCCCTTACCCCTTACCTGTGGGCCGGCATTGGTTACTTAAATGACGGGTAACTACCCATCTGGTGGACTAGGTGGGGGGACTAGTGCATCCAGCCCCGGTCCCTGGGCCACTGGGAGAGCAGCCCTGAAGTGAGCCGCCTCTCTAAGGGACACGCAGAGACACACTCCTGACCACCCTTCAGGCTGCGGACCCCGATGGTGCATGCCAGCCCTTCCCCTTCCCTGGGAGTCCCCTTACCTGTCTGCCTGTCCCTCAGTCCATCCATCTCTCCCACCATCTTACACCCCAAGGCTCAGCCCCGCTGAGCTACTTTGAACTCCTCGTTGGTTTTCAGTAGCAGACTGGGAGCAGAGATGGTGATGATTTTGCACAAGCAAGTCTTGTGGCAAGGTTGCCGGGTTACAGAGGACTAAGGGAGGTCAAGGTTGGACGATGAGGATTGGAGGTCGGTCAGGACAGGTGTTTGAGGTCAGGGGTGACTACCGGGGGTCCTCGCAAAGTCCCCGGCGATGGGCACCACCCCCCCACACACACACACACACACTCACGGGCACCAACAGGTGTCTGGCCATCCTAGCTCACTGCTGTAACAGCTGTGTTGACTGGGCTCACCTGAGTCCTGGCTCGGCTGCTACGGACCCCTTGTGGCAGGTGTATGAAATGACAGCTGAGAACTACAAGGGTTGGTTCCAGGCCACAAGTGTCCCCAAGATGCCTAGGGAAGGGTGTCATACTGGCCCAGCCCCCGCCCTCCGGGAGCTTGCTGGGAAACCAGACCTGACATGGCCACTTCTTTACCCAGGGTTCACTTCGGGGACACAGAAGCCTGCAGGAGGCAGGGCTTCCAGGAGGAAGAGGCTGGGTGGTGAGCCAGGTGGAGGGGTGACACCTCTGTTTCTGTCCTTGCTCCCCAGCTTTTCTCCCTGCCGGCCTCGGGGTGCTCACCCCCTCAGAGACCTGGGAGCCCCAGCTGGGCCTGCCCCTCCCACCGGACACTTGCACCGGCTCCCCTAGGACCCCGGCCTTGGCCGAGCCCAATGGACAGGGCCCCAAGAACCCCCGTGTGTCCACCGTGACGGTGCAGCTGGAGATGAGGGCTCTGTGGGAAGAGTTCAACCAGCTAGGCACAGAAATGATTGTCACCAAGGCGGGCAGGTGTGGACATCACGGGGCAGGGGCGGGGGGCAAGGGAGTGGTGCCAGGCTTAGACTACAGAGTGGCCCCCATTCCCACTGCCCGGCAGGAGGATGTTCCCCACCTTCCAAGTGAAGATTCTGGGCATGGACACACTGGCCGACTATGCCCTGCTCATGGACTTTGTCCCCCTGGATGACAAGAGATACAGGTCTGAGCCGGCCAAGGGGACAAGGGTCTTAGGTGCTGAGACCAGGGGTCTGTCTGAGCAAGGGCGGGATGTGCACTTGATGACAGGAGGGGGGCTGGCATGGGCAGTGGGCTAGCCTGGGGCAGCTGAGTATCCATGGGAACTCGGGGCCTCGAAGCTTCTTCCGCCAGCAGAGCCCAGCCCTGCTTCCCACTTGGTACCCAGAAGGCCCTGCACCAGGCAGGGGTGGGCGGGGGATCAGGGATGCTCACACCTGGCTCCAGGTGGGAGAGGGACACCCTGGCCACCTGGCTCTGCTCCCCAGGTATGCCTTCCACAGCTCAGCCTGGTTGGTGGCCGGTAAGGCTGACCCAGCCACCCCTGGCCGCGTGCACTTCCACCCGGACTCACCAGCCAAGGGCGCACAGTGGATGCGGCAGATTGTGTCCTTCGACAAGCTCAAGCTGACCAACAACCTGCTGGACGACAATGGCCATGTGAGGCCTGGGTGGCAGTGGGGAGAGCGGGCGAGACGGGACATGGGAGATGGCTAGGGCCTTGGGTGCCCAGCACCCTGCCTGCTGGAGGCTGGGCTCAATGTCTGGAATCTTGTCAGTCAAGGGGACCTCGAGGCAGATGGGGCAACAGGGGTGGGCTGTGCTGTCTCACGTGAGGCCCCCCACCCCCCATGTAAATGATCCCCCTGGGCCACATGGTGGGGTTGGCTGGCAGCAGGCAGAGGGACACAGCAAAGGAGGGATTGTGACACTTGCCAAGGAGACAGGGAAGCTGGGAAAAGGAGAAGGGAGGGGGTGGGGGCTGTTCTGTTGGGATCAGTGAGCAAAACACGGGTGGTGGGGGGTGGGGGGGGTGTCTGCGTGTGTCTGACGAAGGAGTTCTTTCAGGCAGAGGGAACAGCAGTGCAAAGACCCTGAGGTCAGAGTCCAGGGAACTGTAAGGAGCCCTCCTTCCCATCCCCACCCCTCCTCTCCCCTCCCTTCTATTCTCCCCGCCCCTCCTGGAGGGGAGAGTGGGAGGGAGGGGCGGTCCCAGAGGCTGCAGAGTCTGTGGGGCATGGAGAGGGCCTGGCTCTTCCTCTGTGGGTGAGGAGAGCTACCGGGGGAGGGAGGCGGGGAGAGGCTTTGAGATGGGGGTGATGGGGGGTAGCCAGGGCTGCTGTGTGCAAAGCAGAAGAGGTGGGGCAAGGGGAAGGGGGAGGCAGAGAGAGCAGCAGGGGGCAGGTGGGGAGGAGTATAGGAGGAGAGGGGAAGAAGAGAACTCAGAGTCCGCCAGCTGGACCTGGAGGTCTGAGGAGAGGGGCTCCCACCACAGGAAGGGTCTACTGTGCCCCTCCTCCCCAGATCATCCTCAACTCCATGCACCGCTACCAGCCCCGTTTCCATGTGGTCTTCATGGACCCCCGCAGAGACAGTGAGCGCTACGCCCAGGAGAACTTCAAGTCTTTCATCTTCCCCGAGACCCAGTTCACGGCCGTGACCGCGTACCAGAACCACCGGGTGGGTGCAGGGGCGGGTCGGCCCCAGGCGCATAGCCCTTCAGCGGGTGGCTCCTGCCCTGTCCTCTGTCAAGGGAGCCCCCTTGTCCTCGCTGGCTCCAGGCTCCCTGGGCCTCCTGATTGGGGTCCAGGGAGGATAGGGTGACTGGATTTGGAGTCCCATGCCTTCTCCTCCTCTCGGGCCGGCCCATTAACACCCGCCCCTCCTCCTCTGCAGATCACCCAGCTGAAAATCGCCAGCAACCCTTTTGCCAAGGGCTTTAGAGACAGTGACCCGGACACCTGGTACCTTCTGACCCTGGCCACCCTCAGAGCCCACCCTCACCTTCTGACCCCCATTCCCTGCTCCGTGCCCTCTGGTCCCCCCTGGGTCCCCCTCCCCGACATGATCTCCTCACATCCCTGTTTGCACACCTCAGGCCTAGGGGCCCCCAGCCCCTGCTCAGCATCCCAGCCCGGACTCGAACTACCCTCAGCCCCTGCCCGCAGAAGGGCCCCAGAGGGCAGGAGCGCGGTAAGTACCCATCCACTGGCACAGCCAGACCAGAGCCTGGTGGGAAAAGACCAGGAAGGGGCTTCCTGCTGCTCAGTGGACCCACTGGGCACCTGTGCAGACAGGACTGGAGGGTGGGGGTGGCAGGCAGAGAGGACAGGACTGGGACGAGATGCTGGGAGCAGAGGTAGGGTGATCAGGCGGGTTTCCTGGAGGAGATGGTTCTGGAACTGGCGTGAGCTTGGTTAGAGAGAAATCCAGGCCGGCGAGAACCAGGACAAAAGCTGGGGTGGGGTGGGGCAGGCTGTGGCAGGCCAAAATGGAAGGGAAGGTCAGAGGTCTGTCTCCTGCCTCAGACCATCTCCTCCCTCAGACGCCAACAGAGCTCCAGCCTCCACGTCAAAGACATCTGCCTGGCTCCACCAGCAGCTGCTGGTCCCCCCTGAGACCCTGCTGGCTCCGACCACCTCCCGGCCCCTCACCTATCAGAGCTTTTACTCAAGAGCCCCAACCCCCCTGGGGGCCCCCAGGGCCCGATCAGCTCCATACCCTCTCCCCAACATCAGGGCTGACAGGGATCAAGGGCGCCTGTCCTTCCCACAAGGGCTGGGGCTCCTGTCCCCCGCAGCTGTATGCCTGGGGCCTGGCCAGGCCCCACAGTGAGAGGGACAGAGGCCTCCTGTCCCAGAGCCACAGCAGCGGAGGGGGACTTGGCCTCCACCCTCCCACTCCCTCCAGCCCCACCTCTGCAGAGATCCTCACTCACCTCTCCCCCTTCTCCTGAGGGCAAGGGAGGTGCCCATTAAAGGGGAAGATGCCAGGCTTGGAATTGCCTCCTGCCCTCCCATCCCTAGGATGGAGGACCCTGCCCCATCCTGCTGTGGGGGTCACCCACTGAGCTTGCTTTCTCCCACACCCCCCCATCATTAAACCATTCCATCTGGTGGACAGAGAGCACTGTCTTCCGGGGTTGGGGACGGAGGGCCTCGGGGACACCAGATGCAGGACAGGCCATCTGTACCCAGGAGGGCAGGTGATGATGGTGCAGTGGCTGACGGTGCCACCGCGGAGTGATAGGGCTGCCCTGAGGGAACCTGGGCCTCTTGATGCCGGTGTCCAGAGGAGGACCAGAAGTCTGCTTGGAGAGGCTCCTGCTCCCCACAAAGCAAGGCACCATCTGCTGCTCCCAGACCAGATAGGGCCCACAGGGCCCACCGGTGTGCCGTGTGCTTTGTGAATCCGACCACGGTCCGAAGCTGGGGAATGTCCTAGGAAAAGTGCCATTGAAACCGACATCTAAGGAGGGGTTACAAATGATGAGGGGGAGGGGAGAGAGGCGCTTTAAGTCCGGGGGAAGCAGAGCAAAGGTTTGGCGGCGGAGTTGCTGACGGCCGAGAGGAAAGGGGGGTCCCCGTGAACCCTGTAAGCGCGGACTCTGCACTTTTGGGGACGCACGAGCCCACGCGGAGAAGGAGGACAAGGGATTCCGGGGGTTTCAGCCTGATCCCACAGCCTGCGGGTCGGAAGGGACAGGTCGGGTGGCTGGAACTTTAATGCGGCTGCAGCAGTTCCGGGAACGCCGGGGCGCTCGCCGGCCCCGCCCCTGCCCTCGGGGCCACGCCCCTCCGGGCCCCATCCCGCCACTTGGATTGGAGGCTGGGTTCTAGTCCCCGCCTCCAGCCACGTCCTCCCAGTCGGTTCCCTCCCAGGCCCCTCCCTCGCCCCGCCTTGCTCGGAGCCCCACGTGTGGGCGGGGCCTCGAGGCGCCTCCGACCGCCGCGTGACACCTGGCTGTCCCGGCCGCGCGCTGGGCGGACATGCTGTCCGACTGTCTGTCCGCCGAGAGCGAGCAGCGCTGCCGCCGGCTGCTAGCGGGGAGCACGGCCCGGTGCCGCGCGCACCCCGCGGCGGCCGCGGTGCTCGTGCCGCTGTGCGTGGTGTGCCAGGCCCCGGCGCTGCTCTACACGCTGCGGTCCCGCCGCCTGGTCGGCAGACACAAGGGCGAAGTCAGGTACTCGGCCGGCCCCGCGGGCAGGCGCCTCCTCCCTGCGGCCCCGGCTTCCGCCTCTCACAGGGGCTCTGTGGGCGCGCGCCCACTGCCGAAGGGCCCGCCACCCCTGCGCCCCCATCCTGAAATGCGCCTGGCGTCGCTGCGCCGTCCCCCCTCGCCTGTCCCCCTGGCCACCTCGGGCTGGGGGTGCCTCCGGGCGGTTTCCCTCCTGCTTACAAGTCAAGTTCCCCGAGGCCCCCTGCTGGCGACGGCGGGGAAACGCAGGTCTGTCCCCGCCCCCTCCCCCGGAGCCGAGTGAGCGCCCCTACCCCACCTCATGATTTCAATGCCAGAGCCAGCGGCGCCCCCGTTGGCAGCATCAGACCTTCAGAGCCGTAGGCCCCTCCTGCTCCAGTCGCTAGGGCCCCATATCCCACCCTGCACGGCCAGGGACTGACCTGGTCCCTCAGGGAGGTCCAACGGACTCTCCAGGAGTTACATGCCCTGCCCACGCCTCACTGCAAACTAGGGCGGAGGCGATGCACACAGTGGGTCTATTGGGCCTCTGATGATGTCATCACCCAGACCCAGACAGAGCCCTTCACCCCAACCTCTCTGTGGCCCTGACAACCCAGCGACCAGCCTCCTGTGTCTGCTCAGTTTCCCAGGTGGCAAGTGTGACCCTGCAGACCAGGATGTGGTACACACGGCCCTGAGGGAGACCCTGGAGGAGCTGGGCCTGGCCGTGCCAGAGAAGTGTGTGTGGGGGATCCTGCACCCCGTGCACGACCGGGTGAGCCCCCAGACCTCAGGCACTCCGACATCTGTTGCCTGACCTTATACCTGCCCTGGGCTGGGAGGTGCCACCCTAGGGACAAGGAGAGGCTGGCAGGGACACCAGCAGCTGCCCAGCACTTACTTATTTGGCACCTCCAGCACCCCTTGGTGGAGCAGTAAGGATGCCTGGTGGCGCAGTGTTTAACACTTGGCTGCTGGCCGGGAGTTCGTGGGTTCAAACCCACCAGCAGCTCTGAGGCAGAATGTAAAGGCGACAGCCTTGGAACCCTGTGGGACAGTTCTCCTCTGTCCTTGTTATAGGCAGACTGCCACCTGATAGCAGTTCGGTGGTTTTTTGACAGGTGTGGGTACGGCGGCTCAGGTTGGCGGAGGTCTTGAATGGTCGCAGGGCAGGCTGTCCTCAGTGGAGGGGACCCCAGAGGCCTAAACTGGTCCAGTGCATGGGTCTGGAGGGAACTCAGGGCCGCGGCTGGGAGACATGGAAAGCAGAGGGGTCCTCTCCCAGGCTCCCCTCTACCAGGCTCAAGGCCCCACCACCCTCTGACAGCCTGCCCTCCTCTTGCCCCAGCAAAAGGCCTCCGTGATGCCCGTGCTGGCCAGCCTGGGACCCCTGGATCCCCAGAACCTCAAACCCAATCTGGACGAGGTGAGCTTGGGGTCCAGGCTGGCCCGGTGGGCAACAGCAGCCCATCCCCTGTCTACCTTCCCTCTGCCTCCTGCCCACAGGTGGATGAGGTGTTTGCACTGCCCCTGGCCCACCTGCTGCAGGCGCAGAATCAGGGCTATACCCACTTCTGCCAAGGAGGTCACTATCGCTACACCATGCCTGTCTTCCTGCATGGGCCACACCGCATCTGGGGACTCACTGCCATTATAACAGAGTTTGTGCTGCAGCTGCTGGCGCCCGGCAGCTACCAGCCCCGCCTGGCTGGCTTCCGAGTGCCCAAGTACTGAGGTCCCACCCGCAGCAGCCCCTTGCTTTTGGCTAGCCAGGTGGATTCTACTCCAGGTCTGAATAAAAAAACCTGTCACCCACTCCTTGACTCTCAGTCCTTTCACACTGGGCACTGACCCTGGGCCAGGTCTGCTGGACAGCTGGCCTCCTGGCTGGCGCCTCCACTCAGTCCTACTGTCACTCCTGGTGTGTGTCTGGGGGGGGTGGGGGGAGTGGAGGGTGGTGGTGGCATTTTTTTAAGCCCTGGTGGCACTGGGGATAAAACACTGGGCTGCTCACTAAAAGGTTGGCAGTTCAAACCTATCAGCAGCTCCTGGGAAGAAAGATGAGGCTGTCTGCTTCCAGCCTTGGAGCAGTTCGACTTGGCCTTATCTGGGGACTACTGTGAGCCGGGCTGGACTAGGTGTCAGTGGGCTTGGCTTGACCTGTGGGGGGAAGTCAGATCCTTGCTGCCAGACTGCTGTCTCATCCCACCACAGGGGTGGGCCTGCTCCCTGCTGCTGGGGACAATGGACAGGCTCCTGTGGGTGGAGTTTGCATCCTACTGATAATGGTCCAGGGACAGGCCAAACCGGCTGTCCCTCTTTCTATAGCGTGTATGTCCCTAGATCACCCCCTCCCATCACTGTAATACCTGTAGCACAACCCTTTCCTGGGACATATGTCTTCACCTGTAATGTGGGGGCTTGCACATCCCCAGAGAGTATAAAAGCTTGGGGAGCATTAAAATTCTCTTTCCTTCCACGTGAATTACCAAGGGGGGCTGAGGTGAGCAATGCTACCATGAAATGTCTGCCTCCATTTATTTCTATATATCTCCTTTATCTCTCATGCTCTCTATAACTTTACTGTAATATTTACTTATTATCACTGTACAATTGCGCCTATCGAACCCATAGTGATTGTGCTAGGATCTGGCTTCTTCTGGCATTGACCCTCTCAGCAGTTAGGGCTGCTCCCCTGCTGACCAAGCCAGGCTCGGGATGGTGGAGACTTGGCCGGGGCTCACTCCCAAGCTTGGACTTGAACTCCGGAGCCCAGACTCCTAGATGCTACACTCTCTCCTCTGGGCCAGGCTGGCCCTGTGCAGTGGCACCAGGGATCCAGAGAAGTGAGGGGAAGTCCTCCTTCCCAACTCCTGGGATTGATTGTAAAGTTCCCATACCTGGACCCTCTATATCTTGTGCGAGGTGCTGAAATGGAGACTGGCCAGATGCTGCTTGGTTCTTTGGGAGACCTGGGGCAAGGGATTTGTATGGTCATCCGTTGCCCAGACAACAGTGTATGGCAAGTGATCAAAAACGTCCACCACTGACTGATTTTGCCCAAAGGGATGGTGATTACAAAATGCAGAGAGGCAGCTTCAGGCATGGCTGGATCCAGGTGCTGGGGTGGGGGCACTCTCCAGTTCTCTGGCTGGCCTCCCATTCAAGGACTCTCTCTATCGAGAGGGGTGAGAGATGAGAGGGTACCGGTTAGAGGGCAGGACTCCGGCAGCCCATCAATAGAAAACAGCTTCTCACTCATCCAGTCACTCTGTCCAGTGCCCTCCTTAGGGACCATTAGGCAGGGTGCTGGGTTGGTGATACATTGTGGACCGGGTCAGTGCCCCTTCCCAGCCTGGGGAAGGAGAGTGGGAGTGGGGGAGACTTCCTGGATTGAGTAGTAAAGGGGCGCATCCAAAGGGCAACAAGGAGGGGCTGCTGGGCAGGTAGGGTCAGCCAAGGCCGCTTATGGGGACTGACCTTGAAACTGAAGCTGAGCAGGGGAAGGCCTGGTCAAGGGGCAGGAGGTGCCGTCCAGGAAGGAGTAGCTGAGCTGTTTGAGGAATCCTAGCAAAGCAATAGAGCCCTGGTATGCATTGGGCTGCTCCCCACAAGGTCAGCAGTTAGAAAACACCAGCTGCTCGGAGGGAGGCAAGGCTTTCTACTCCTGCAGAGTTACACCACCTCTGAAACGCCAACGGGGCAATTCTAGTCTGTCCTGTAGCGTATCGTATCGGGGAGCTTGGGTTTGGGTTTAGCAAAGCAATGGGGAGTGGGGCCAATGCATTGGGCAGGAGCTGGAGAGGTGAGCAGAGCCCGCCCACACAAGGGCCACAGGGCCAAGCCACAGAGAGGGTTTTGTTCCGTTTGTGTGGTGTGTGTGTTGATCTGACTTACAATTTTAAAAGTTTGATCCGACTCGGGGTGGTTGCTGGGGCCTTCCACCCTGCTTCCTGCAGCCTCCCAGGACCTCTCTCCTCTTCACCATGGCCCTGCCCCTCCTTCCCGACAGTCCCCTCCTCCAGTCTGCGCCCCTCTCTCCCAACCCCCACCCTTTTAGACATCTTCTCCTGTATGCCCTCTCCCATCTTCACACCTGCCCCTCCTGCCCTCCCCACAACCCTTTGCCACCTCTGGCCCTCCAGCCTTGGGGGCCACATGATGGTGGTAAAAATAACTCCTGTGAAGGGGGTGTGAAGGGGTGGTGCTAGGTGGGAGAGGGAGGCTCAGCCTCACTGCTGGGAGGGGACCCTGCACGGGATGGGCCACGCCACGTGTCCTGGGTTCTCCCCCTTTCATCTGTCACACTTGCTCACAAGATCTCCCTCCCCCAAGCGCACACCCAGCACCAGCTGCGAACCGGGCGGGTGGAAGCGGCTCTGGGTCCAGTAAGTGATCCAGTCAGGCAGACCCCAACCCACTGGACCCCAGACTGGAGCGCCTCCAATTCCTCCCCAGTCAGTCCAGTGCTGCCCTGACCCTGCGCTGTCTGCAGGTGGCTCTGAGCCGCCCATGTCAGCGTCCCCATGGAGGGCTCGGCGGCTACGGGCTGGCGGCGGCCGCTGCAGCGGGTCAGCATGCAGGAGCACATGGCCATCGACGTGAGCCCCGGCCCCATCCGGCCCATCCGCCTCATCTCCGACTACTTCCCGCACTTCTACCCCTTCGCCGAGCTGGCCCAGCACGGCCCCGGCCCGCGGCCTGCTGCCTCCGGCGCTGAACGCCCGCTGCCTGCTGACCCCGAGCCCGAGGGTGACTCAGATGACAGCGGTAAGCGTGCGCCCAGGAGGGGTCCTGGGGTCCGGCCTGGTTGGGGTGGGTGGGGCTGACCACCCTGCCCTGCTCTCAGCTGGCCTGGGCATGCTGGAGTTCACGCTGCTTTTCGACGCGGACAACAGCGCCCTGCACTGCACTGCCCACCGGGCCAAGGTGAGTGGGGCTGGGGACCCCGGACTGCCTCCCGCTCAGCTGCCGCCCACACCCACGGTCTATTCGCAGGGCCTCAAGCCCCCCGCCGCCGGCTCTGTGGACACCTACGTCAAGGCGAACCTGCTGCCAGGAGCCAGCAAGGTGAGTGTGGCACCTGGGCCCCACCAGCGCCA